AAGAATGTGACAGTTTAAAGATGCATCATTTACCGCTGCCATACTTTCCTATGTAGTTAATGCGACCTTTCTTCTGCAGTTTGCTGAAATGTGGATATAGTGGGTCTCAGCAAACGAATGAATCATGTTGTGGTTCTGAGGCTGGGGAAATGGGAAAGCGTGAATCATCCTATTGCATCTGCAGTTTAATGTGATGAAGAGATACCTCAATATTTGATTTAGCAGCTTTGGTTATTGAAACCTTTTCCTTAGGTGTGGATCAAGTATGTTATCGTTCTGACATTGTATGACTTTAGTGGAAAAATAAGAGAGGGAAATGAGGTGGTATTCTCTGATTCTGCACCATTAGATGCTTTGCCGTCAGGTGAAATATTAAACCTAGAGCTGTGCAAACTGTTTCCAAGGAAACCAGATACAATATAATACCTAGCAGTTTCCCGATGTGTTACAAACTTCCTCCAGGTTCCATTAGAAGATTTAAAGCCAATCTGGGCTCCTTTTTGGTGAATGAAGCTTGATGTTTCCCAGTGCATTTGCTTCACTTGGGTGTGAACCTTTACACAAAACTCCAGGGTTACCAACCCCACCCAAATCCAAACCAAAGAAACCGTGCACACGAAGCTATGTGAACTAAAGCCAAGGCCATACAAATCAAAATTGCCATTGTTTACACAGCTTTCGTTAGACCAAGCTCTCTTGTGTCAAACACTGATGGTTATCCAAGTAGTGGTGTTTTTCCTAAACAAGTAGGAAATAATGGAAGTTCCAATAAGGTTATGCGGCTACTGCTGCTCAACTTAAAATGTCTGCTCCAGCTGCCTAGCAGGCATGATCTTACCAGTTCAGTATATAATTCACTATTATAAAGTTTCTAGCAAAGGTAAGCCCAGGCTAAAATCCTGGGGTCCAAACACCCCTGAAATTTGGGGATAAGATCCAGATTCAGAGTCAAGCTTTATAGGTGGTCTCCATCATGAGACCGACGTGCTTAGACCACTGGACTGGGACCCAGGAGATCTAGGTTCAGTTCTCAACTCTAACACAGACTCTCCATGTGACCTCGGCCTGGATCCTCAAAGGTACTTAGAAATCAATTGGAGTTAGGTACCTAAAGACCTTTGGGATCTGTCTCTCTGTCTCAGTTCCTCACCTTTAAAATGGGGATAATAATACTTCCTGTCTCCCACCTTGTCTTATCTATTCAGATGGTCAGTGCTTCAGGGCAGGGACTATCTCTACTTTCTGTGTATATACTACTCCTAGCACAATGGGGCCCTGCCCATTTGGCGTGTCTGAACACTACTGTAATACTACTACTAATAATAATCTTGAAACCAAACCCCAGAGCTGAACACCCACAAACTTTGGGAAAGTTGAGATTTGAATCCCAGCTCTGCATTCGGGGATACCGCGAGTTTGAAATGCATCGTATGAAAACACATTATTCTATTCTGTTCCTTAACTATCTTGCAGGAGCTGATTACTGCCTGGTATATTGGCTTCCTGTGCCTCATTCTGGCCTCTTTCCTGGTGTACTTGGCCGAGAAAGGAGAAAATGAGCACTTTGATACATACGCAGATGCACTCTGGTGGGGCCTGGTGAGTAATTTTCACAAAACAGCAGCTGCCGGCTATTACAATGAAATGGCCATTAACCCTCCCATCCTCTATCACTTATGTGAGGAGTTGACTGATGTGTGTTTAGCTAGCGTTATTATTAAACGGTTTCCGGCTACTCAGTTAAGTACTTTTCACAAATATTCCCCTCAGAGAATGCTACACTATTTCATTCCTTGAGTTCGCCAGATCATGGACAGCTACAGGAGAGGCACCCTCTGCTCCCAGGACTAGGGAAGGACAGTCTGGCCGTTGCAACTTTGGCACCAGCTGGCCAAAAAGTGACTGTTTTCATGAGGTTCTCAAGGGAGCTGTGTTCAGCCCTGCAGGCGGGAGGTGAACCATGGTAGATTGAAGCTTGGGCTATAGGAAGTGCCACTCAGCAGCTCCCCCCACGTGAGCACCTCAGAGATGTCACCATGTAGGTGTGTGTCTGGAAAGAGCTGGGTTGATCTCGGACATCAGTCATGTAGGGTTCAAGGAAGCTTAGCACCATGAGCAAGGGAGTGGAAAGAAAGGGAGGAAATGTGAGCAAAATCAGGAAAGGAGAAGAAGATTCAAACACTAAACAATGTTCGATTATGCTTGAAAATCAGGGAGTGGAATGGAAATCAATTCAGACTTGCCCTATGCTAGTCTTGCGCCATTGGGATATGAAATTGCCAGCATTGTCTAGTGGCTTGAACTGAGCAAAGAGCCAGGAACTCCTGCCGTCCAATCTAAGCTCTGCCACAGCATACCATTTGGCCTTGGGCAAGTTTCTTAACTTCTCTGTACCTCAGCTTTCCCACCTGTAAAATAGGAATAACGATGCTCTCCTACTTCAGAGGGATGACCAGGATTAGTTAACTAATTCTCCTCTTACCTGAGGGCAACAGAGAGGAGAATTTGACTCATTTTTGGTAAAGTGCTTTGAACACTTCAGGCTGCCTAGAGGTGCTAAGTATTACTACCCATGTTTCTTCTGTGTTTGTGGCCACAAGGAGGTTTGTCATCCTTTCTCTGTGTCCTCTCTCAATTAATTTTCCTCACTTATAAGGGTCCCTTATGCCTCAGGCATAAGTCCCATGCCACTGGGGTTATTATTCTTTAGCAAGCCTTGTTGGGATGTGATCTGCCTTCCAGCTTTGGTCTTCTGCAGTGAGAGCAGTTCAGCAGAACCTAATTAATTCATGCTAATGACTGGGGGACTCCGCTTGGGGATGGAATTTGGCCAATGGAAAGATTCCCATTGGCTTCACTGGGCTTTGGAGTAGACTCCTAGTGAATAAGCAACAAACCATGTGGACCAGAGTGAGCTCTGCGCTTATGCAGGCACATAAGGTGGAGGAGGAGTTCACTGGCCTTCCAATTTAAGCCTCATACAAGTTGGACCCAACCGTAGTCTTTAAACGCTGGGAGTTCAAGAGCTGTCTGAGGCAAGTTCTGCTGTTGTTAGTCCGCTGGCGTCCAAACAGTGCTAGATATTGACCATAGACAAAGAATGGGATTTTCAAAGGTGCCTAAGGGCAGGTCTACACTTACGGTGGTGTGTAGCGTACAGATGCTGCATGCCCAACTAACATGGGTATAAATGGCCGGGTAGATGGTGAGGCACTTCTTAGGCGAGTCGAGTGCCCTATGTGCCTGAACCCTCGGGTATATATACCCTACATGGCTCTCTGCAGGCCTAGGCAGTGCCCGCCCCATCTAAACTGCTATTTTTAGCCTTGTAGCATCCCGCTGCCTCCTGGCTCCTTTCCTCATCTCAGTGAAAGACTCTGGAAGCAGAGACAGGCTCCCCTGTGCCGGAGCCTTTCACTGCTGCGTGTTGCAACACACCGCAGACAGTGGGGACGCATCTTGCTTTTCACTGCAGCACATAGGCGCTGGAACTAGGGGTGCTGAAGGTGCTGCCTCACCCCCTCGTTTGAAGGGGTTTCCATCATATACAGGGTTTACAGTTTGGTTCAATGGCTCTCGGCATCCCCACGATACACATTGTTCCAGCCCCCGTGCTGCATAATGTAGCTACATGTACCCTACAAGTGCAGACAAGGTCTAAGTAATTAGCCACACAAGTCGCATTGGGCTTCAGCATTTTGGAGAATCCCACCCAAGCTCCAGCGCTGAACAGTTGCCTGCTTAAGACAATAGGCTTCTTCCAAAGGGCCGGCGGGAAGGGATAAAGCACACAATCAACCCAAATATTTACTTAGCAAGCACTAAATAGCCTCAATCCTTAAATGTGCTTCAGCCCAAGTCGGTGTTAGTTGGCGAACATCTCCCAGGCTTCCTGGAGGAAATGCTCCTCATACCAGTCTTCTCAAAGGAGTCCGGACCATGGCTTTCAAGGTTGGAACAGCACTTGTGCTCTGTGGGGTCACTAGGAATATCAGAAGTACTTGTGGCACCTTAGAGACTAACAAATTTATTAGAGCATAAGCTTTCGTGGACTACAG